TACCCTTCCAGTGGGACGCACCAGCTGGGTTAATTTTTAGATACAAGGGAGAAGGGTATCGGTTGAATACCGTGGAGAAGGCACAACACTTCTACACTACTATTCTTAAGGAAAGAACACCATCTCCACGTACATCCACAGTTTTGGAGATTAAAGAGAGTGAAGAGAGGCAATTGCAAGAACAGTCCAAGCAGGAATTAGAAGTAGTGCAAGGTGCAGAAGGAGGTTTTCTGAGTGAGCCCTTGTTGGATTCTTCTCCAATTTTGGATTTGATTCAGTTGACAGAAGTTAAAGATCAACGTATAACTAGAGCCCAATCCAAGCTACTTAAACAAAAGCAACAACAACAACAGGAAAGACAAGACAAGAAGGCAGTTAAGAGTATTGTACAAGAGAGTGGAGCTATGGGAGGAGCGAGATCGAAGCTCTCGGATGAACTTCAAATATTTTGCTCTGTGCTCCAGAAAGAGGCTGATGACTTTTAAGTGTCTATCTTGGAATGTCAATGGGTTGAATTCAGCACAGAAAAGGAAGAAATTATTTACATATTTGAAACAATTTAATAATGATATAATATGTTTACAAGAAACGCATATCACGGACTTCCTGTTTGCTGCTGGCCGCCGCCAGACGTTCCTTTGGGATCGTCAGCTTCCACTGCCTGTCAGAGCCGCCTTCACAACGGAACGGCGGCTCGAAAAAACTCCGTTCCCATGAGGAAACGGAGATAGAGCCGGCAGGGGTGGGTAGAACTCTCTGCAGAGTCCCAAAAGTTTTTCTTTTACTTTTGGGATGGAGCGGATGAGATGCCCCATATCCCCAGCCGCTGCTCCGGGCTTTGGGAGACCTCTGCTAATGCAGAGCCAGGCGTCAAAAGCAAGCCTGCGAATTTGACAGATTACTCAAAGAAAATGTGAGCTGGACCTGTAATACTGAAGCGCAAGTATTTTACTTATCTTTTAAAAATTACTTAAGAGAATAGAGGAAGAGAAAGAGGAAAAAAGTTTCTTTTTAAAATGGCGTCTGCCGCGGCTGGAGAAGAGTTTGAGAGGGAAAGTTCTTCCGTTTTTTATTATTACAATGTAGCGGAATAAATACCACTGGCTACATTTGTAGACAAAACTCCGCTCCTGTTTTTGTTTTTCTCTTTTTTCCCTGGAGGCTTGAGTGTTGCTGGCTGGAAGTCTTTTGTCTTGTTTTTTTTTTTTTCTTCTTCTAACAAAGCCTGCTTAGGCGGAAACATGGCACTGAGGCTTGTGAAGTCAGACAAACAAATAGGTGGGGGGGGATTCCCCCACTAAGAATTTAAAGCAACAAGTTTTAACTCTTCAGTCCCAGAAACCTGATTTTAATATAATAGAATTTCTCTTAGAAGAGATTGAAAGAAGGGATGAGATTGTGAATCAGCAACTTGAAAAATTTAAGCAGGAAACTAAGGAATTGGTGAAATCCAAGTTTGACTTTTTGCAGCAAAAAATTTTAAAATTGTCAGAATTCATGATTCGGTTGGATACAAATACTAATTTACTAGAGTCAAAAATGGATGAAATTCAAGATAAATTGGACAATAGAATTCAAAAAATTGAAAATGATTTGTTAAATATTCAGGATTATAGTTCAGAAGAAAAATTTAAAATGGATGCTGACCAAAAGTCTGGTAATGTAGAATATCTGGAACAGAGGATTCAAAAAGAGGTTCTAAAGATACAATATAATTTCACAGAATATGCAATAAGACTTAGAGGTTTGCAGGAAAATAACAGAGATGACTTAAGGAAAATATCTTCTGAATTTCTAGCTGGGATTTTAAAGATTCAACCTGAGGAAGTGTTTTGTAGGATTGATAGAGCTTATCGAATAAACTCCTGGACTGCCAAGCAAAGGCAATTGCCTAGAGATGTGGTAATCTATTTTTCAGATAAAGAAATTAGGAATAAAATTGTGCAAAATTCCTTCAATTCTAATTTGCAATTGTATGGAAGAAAGATTTGGATTTACAAGGAACTCCCACCTAAGATACTAATGGAAAGGAAGAAATTTGGCTTTCTGGTGTCTGAGTTAAAAAGGAGAAATATTCAATTCCGGTGGGACGTCCCAGTTGGTATTATATTGAGATATCAAGGAGAAAGATACCAGTTAAATACTGTTGAAAGGGCGGAAGAATTTTATCAAAATAGGTTGAAAATGAATTTAACGTCTTCAGATATAATACAGGATAAGCAGAAGGAGCTGGAACTAAAGACAGAGACTGTACCAGATAAATTGCCTTTGGATTTATCGGATACCCCAGCTGGATTATCTACAAATTTGAGAGAAGTGCCATCTGATTTTAATGTGATGACTTATCAAGGCAAGGACAAGCATGGAAACCAATTAGAGGATATACAAGGGATAAAAAAGAAATGCGAGACACAAAAAATTAGGATGGAGGTCAAACCCACAAAAAGAAAACAAAAAAAGAAATAGGTTGTACAAAAAATAGAAATTTCTAACCCAAGCAACAGTGAAGCCAGTGATTTTAAAATATGAATGATTATGTGAAAACATAGAGGAGGCGACATATTGGTCAATATCATCCTGAGGATAGTGGCAGATCTCTGCATTGCCGTAATTTTGGGACATGGAAAGAGCCTCAAATTGATGGTTTTGAATTATCTACTTTGAAACTTCTTTTTGTGTTGATAAATATATTATAATTATCTTGAATTATAAGGCAAGAGAATCACATTGGGACATGCAGAAGATCGGGTTGTTACCCAATACGATGATGGAAATTAATAATCCTGATGAAACCCACAATTATTATTATATGGAATACAATTATAATGTCACTCGGGTGGTTGTTTTTACTTTTATATATATAAGAAGATGTTTACTACTGATGGGGGCAGATATGATTGGAGATCTTGAATAAACTGTTGCATCCGTAAGCTATGTCACCCTATTATGGATGTTGGTTTTAACAATCCAGTGGAAAGACTTCAAGAAGATATTATATGGACTATAAATTTAAAGTTATTGTCTTTTCTTTTTTTATTTAGATATAATGGAATATATATATATATATATTTTTAAGTAGTGTGGGCAGTGAATTAAAGATATCAAGAATTGTTGTGTATGGTAAATTTGTAAGACAGTGGGTGAATAAGCTAGCTACAGACTGATTAGTTTAAGAAAAGGGATTTTTAAGTGATACATTTAGGGGAGTGGAGGAAATGGATAGAGTGGAATAAATGTTAAATTAGATTTTATGGGGAGCCCGCTTTGAAATGTTATTAAAGTAGGACTTATTGTATAGTTTTAAAGTGGAAGGTGGTTTTGAATTGTTGCAATAATGCATAGATATAAAACACTATTATGCTAAATTAGAGTTATTTTATAATAGTTATAGTACAATGTGTTTGTTTTTTTTTGTTTTTTTTTTTCTCTTCTTCTTTTCTGAAATGTATGGATAAAGGGGGATTTATAATACTCTTAGTAAGTAAAGGTCAGTATTTTGAGGAGGGAGTAAGTAATCTGTTATGAATTAGGGTTTTTTTTTGTTACGAAGAAGTCACAGGGGGGGAAGGGTGGGGAGGGGGGGTTAGGGAGGGGGGGGGGAGGGGGGAAAAAGGGGGAAAAATTTGTATTTGAAAACCTTTTCAATAAAAAAAAAAAAAGAATGCTGCACGGGCATAAATATGAGGACCAGTCAAAAGTGCGAGGACCTGTCAGAAATGATTTTTTTCAGCCCTCTGAGAAGTCCCTATACACAGAGCCATGGCCACCTGGTCACATGACCACAAGCCACGCCCACCCAGTCACATGACCACGCCCACAAAATAAGCCACACCCACAGAACCGGTAGTAAAAAAAATTTAGAACCCACCCCTGCTTTCACACTGTCAATTGTTCACACTGCTCAAGCAAAACTAACAGGTGTGAATTAAGTTTTAGCTAAAAAATGGAGCTTTAATTCCAGAAGTCCATTCTTTAAACTTGGACTTCTGGAATTAAAAGGCTCTGGATTAAATGGTCCTCCAGAGAAAAGATGGGGAAGAGTATCTTGCTTTTAGACATGAGAAGAGCTGTCTAGAAAGGTGAGTTATGAGCTACTTTTGCATCATCAGAAATTTAATTTATGACCTGTTAAAAATACAAAGCCAAGGAGTACAAGGAGCAAATAAGAGACCTTCCTGTTGGGGTTGGTTCTGGACCAAATCTTAGCTCTCGGCCCTCCTTGTGACTTCTTGAAAAGCTTCCCCCCCACCCGCTCCACCACCTGAGGAGGCAGGGGGGGCTGCAGGTTGATCCCAAGGGGGTCTGGGCTGGGCTACTGGTGTACCAGTTAAAAGCCTCTGCTAAATCCTAAAGAATTGTCACATGACCATCAAGCCACACCCACAAAATAAGCCACGCCCACAGAACCGGTAGTAAAAAAAATTAGAACCCACCCCTGGTCAGCCTCTTCTGATTTCAACCCCGATTCTGTCAGAATCTCCCTCCCTCCCTCCCTCCCTCTTTCTTTCTTTCTTTCTTTCTTTTTTCTTCTTTCTTTCTTTCTTTCTTTCTTTCTTTTTTTTCTTTCTTTCTTTTCTTTCTTTCTTTCTTTCTTTCTTCTTTCTTTCCTTTCCTTCCTTCCTTCTTCCTTCCTTCCTCCCTCCTCCCTCCCTCCCTCCCTCCTTCCTTCCTTCCTTCCTTCCTCCTTCTCATTATCCACAGCCCCACCCCCCACCTGCTCTAAAGTAAGACATTCCCCCAAAATAAGACTTAAGAAACGTTTTTTATACTTAAAATGGTCATTAGGGCACAGAACCATTTGTTAAATTTTCTAAATCCCACCACTGATTGTATCCTACCTTTATTTCTCCGCTGGACCTTTTTATTTAACCGGTACAAAAAAATTTCCAGCCATCCCTGCAGTGGTAGCAGTTGAGAATGAGGCAGGACAGCCGGCCAAGGTCTTATGACACGTGCTGTGATGTCATCATCTCTGATCCAGCTGTGGGAGATGCCAGGCTGCCCCCTCCAGCAACGGTGGCCTTTCCATAGGGAGCCTCACACGCGCTAACAGAGAGACCCCGAGAGGTCTGGAAGGAAAAGGGGAAATGGGGGTGGGGTGAAAGATGGAGGGGAGGCCCCCCAAGGCTCCCAGGAGAACGGAGCCCACAGAATGTTCCGCTAAGTGCTAATATTGCAATATTATGATATTACAATATCATTGTAATAGTATAATATTATACAATACAGTACAATATCATAATATTATAATATTATGACCCCCCTAAGAGGTCTGTAAGGGACGTGCATAAGCACCCCAACATGCCTTCCGTCCCTGTCCTACTGTCCCCATTTATTCGTATCCATTTCCTGCATTCATAATCATGTTTATACTTATATCTGTTATCTAATACCTGCTTGACAAATAAATAAAACAAAATGAATAAAAAATAAATAAAAATAAACAAACTATGAAGGCTGCAGTGGTTTGTTGCAGACCCAAGAGAGGACCTGTCAATCTCTCTCTCCAAGATTAAAGGGATCAAGTGGATCACTCATCTCCCTCTCAGTCCACCCTCTCCCCTCCTTCCCCCCTTTCCCTCCTGGATCCTCTAGCCCACTCCTCTCATAAAACGGACTCGCTTCACTTAATTTCCTTGGAGATTTATTTGGTGAGGTGGGACATTGGAGGCAGGCGGGGCAGCTGGGAAGGAGAGATCCGGTCCGGTCCATCATTTATGGAAAGATCGGATTCCAAAGTCTTTGTGGTCCAGAGGTTTCCCAGCCAACTTTCCCAGCCAGCCTCTGACAATCCAAGTCAATGGGAGAAGCCGGACTCACTTAATGACCAAAGTGGCCAAAGAGGTTGTATATTTATTTGTTCGATTGATGTGCTGCCCTTCTCCGGAGACTCAGGGCGGCTTACAATATAAATTGGATATCGATATCGAAGCATTGTTGGAGACCCCACCCACCCACTCCGTCCGCTCCCCTCTGGAGGGGGTTTCCAAGGATTTCCAGCAGGACTCCCCGATTCTGTAGGGGCTTTACTCCCGATGCCCTCCGCCTGGGAAACTCAGGATGCCTTTTTCTCACCAGGTACATGTACACATCCGAACGAGACTGTGATGTTTCTCTGTGTCAGATAATATAGGTGTGTATGTGGATATATATACATAATTTTATTTATTTATTTATTATTTATTTATTTATTATTTATTTATTTATTTATTTAGTCATGATTATGTAGTGTATATTGGAGGTGGCAGCCCTTTGAGAGCTCTATGCAACAAAATTCCATTTTAATGTATGCTGATTAGTGTACATTTAAAGTGACAATAAAGTTATCCTATCCTATCCTATCCTATCCTATTCTGTATTTACTTTTCTATTATTCCTATTCTATTCTATTCTATTCTATTCTATTCTGTTCTGTTCTGTTCTGTTCTGTTCTGTTCTGTTATTTGTTATTTATTTGTTATTTGGAGGGGTCTGGGAGCGAAGGGGCCTCAGCGCAGCCCTTGAGAGAGGCAGAAGGGGGGATTTTCGGTCCTGGGGGGGTTTGAAGGGTCCTCGGCTGCCCCTCCAGGGCTTCTGCTGCCCAGAAGGAGGAGAGCCGCGGTGGGCGTGGCTGTTATGAATAAATGCCTAACTGTGTATACATTAATGCATAGACTGACCCCTCCTCCCTCACCTAGCCCTTCCCATGACCCCTCCTTACCTTGACCCTGCCTTCTCCATATATAAGGCTGTGCACAGAAGTTTAGCTGCAGTTCCAGATGTGTACCTGAATGAAAGGAAATGGAGTAAATAAATACGTTGAAATTGAAATCTATCGTGTCTGTGATTATTGGGCAAGATCCTTGGAAAAATACTTCACAAGATGGTAGCAGAGGATGGTTATGCCCAATAACCAGAACTAATATCAAAAATGGAAGGAAGGATGAACACAAGGTCCACCACCAGACTGATGTCAGAGCTGGGGAAACCCGAAGGTGCCGCCGCCAGAATCCCAACTGCCTTGGAGATGGAGGACCTGGACCAAACAAACAGAAGCGTGAGACCAAAAGAAAGTGCAGCCAGGCACGCCAGGAACAGATCACCCGAGAGAGATGAGCTAAAGGAAACCATACAGAAAATGATGGAGGCCTCCATCAGCAAGAAGGAGCTCCTCGCGAAACTCTGGGACCTACTAGATGACCACGGAGCAGCGATGAGCCCCCAGGAACAAGACCACGAGGCTGCCAGACTGGTAAGACAAAGATACCTCCTGGCAGGGACCCAGGACCTAAGCAATTCCAGTTTTGCGCCATGCTCCCGGTGGCCATCTTGGGATGGCTCCGACCAATAGGGAGCCAGGATTCAAATCCAATGGCGCAAAATGAAAGAAACCCCAGAACAAATGGGGGAACAACCAAAAACGTCCCAGAAGGGACACCCAAGGCATCTGGAGCTCGCCTGCCGAGCTCGAAGCCAGGAAGACACCCGAGACCCCAGCCACTGCGATAGGCCCTGCACGCAACCCCATCGCACCAGCCACGCACCGCAGAGACACAACCACGAGCTGAGGGGGCTACGGGGGGGCCATCGATGACGATACATCCCGCCAGATCCTCCACCCGAGGACCACCCCCCACGAGGACGACCACTGGGCACCGATTGCGCTCGAGGCCTGCCAATGGCAGGACTCGAACCCAGTACCCCCCAGCACCAAATACAAGAGACCCGAGGGGAAGAGGCCACGCCAGCTACTCACCCCCCATGCGACCTCCGCCGGGCCTCCTCACACGCGCCCAGGGACCAGCGACCAAGGATCGGGACCTCTCACCACCGCTGCCGCCGCCGCTGCCGCCGCCGCCGCCACCACGCGCCGCCGAATCCCAGAAGTCCTCCACTTACGACCTCCTCGCCTCCTCGACTTTCTCCAGCTTCCTGCATGGATCCGGATGCCCACCGATGGATGCCTGCCTCCAGGGACGAAGCCGGATACCCCAGGGGTGAGGTACGACCCCCAATTGGAGGCCTAGGCCGAGGCCTAAGAGCAGCAACAGCCAGCTACTCACCCATCGACTACAGGCACGAAATGGGCTTCACGCATGCTCAATCGGCTCCTGTAAGAAGAGAAGGAGAGAACATAAATCCAAGTCTGTACAGAGCCGCAAACTGCATCCCTGCCATATTGTGAGTTCCCTCACCTGAGATACCATGGACAGCAACAGACTGTGAGTAATTTACCACACAGCTCAGTAAATTACCAACTGACTTTCCCACTCTTAAATTAGATGGATCAAACCTCATGCAATGGAATCACCAACTTCAGGTTTTATTTTTAAAAGAGAATCTGTTGTTTTTAATTGATGACCCACCCACAAAACCTTGGACTTTAGAAACAGATTGTTTACATCACAGGGCTTACTATTTAATCATAGCAAGTATTCCACCAGACGTATACCCCAGCCTTAGCCATTACCTGACTGTGTCTGAAATACAGCAAAAGATATTTAACCTGTTCTATAGTAAAAGCGCTGCCACCACAGCAAGGATATCTAGGGAATTCCACTCTGCCAGACATAAAGCAGGGACTCCCATGGGTGAACATATACTGAACCTGAATGCCACAAGAACTGAGCTGATACAAAGGGGGAGGACATATCAGAGGAGAGCATGAAGAGCATTGTCATCAACTCCCTGGACTCCAGCTGGGATAATTTCATAATGCAGCTGGATAGCATAGGCTTAGGCCACCTCACACTCGAGTCACTGACAAACAGGATAGTAGCAGAAGATAGCTTAAGGAGGGACCGCTCCATCAGCCGCAGGGACAGCAAGCCAACAAAGAAAGTTGAGTTCCAAACCAGGAACCTAGGCTACCCAGAGTGCTTCACCTGTGGTTCCAAGAACCACTATAAACGGGATTGCCCAAAAAACTCAAGGGGGAGGGATCACACCTACCAAAGAGAAAGGGGAGGCAGGAAGCCAGGGCTCCCCGATAGATCCCCACCAGAAAACAGATACAGGTGTAGGGACTCCCCCGACCCAAGGGACAGAAGGGGAAGTAGGGACAGCTCTAGGGAGAGCTGATCAGGATCCATGTATGGGATCGGGGAGAACACACACTCTCACACCCACAAACTAGAGAAGGAGAAGCGTGGCTCATCGATTCGGGAGCCACCAACCACACAACTCATGACAGGAAGATACTGACCTCATTCACAGAGGAAAACTACCACATTAAGGTGGCTAATCAAAACAGGGTCCTGGTAACAGGGAAAGGGAACACGTTCATAAGCGGAATAGGCAAAATAGAGGGGGTATTGCTCATATCTGAAATACCCCACAATATTTTAGCAGCGCTTAAACTAAGCAAGGACATGGGCATAGAGACTACCTTCAAAGAGGGGAAAGCCTACATGACCAGGAACAGGGAAAGCATCGGCAAAATAGTCATTGACGGAGGGCTAACATACCTCCACCCTAAGAAGAATAGCCAGGCCCAAGTAATCGCCCAACTGGAGAACACTGAGGATAAAGTCAATGCACATGTTGAGACAGAGGGGGGCAGAGAACATGACCCCACCAAAAACAGCACAACACACAGAGAGAAACTGCTAATTGGCAAACCCATTCACGATGACTGTGCCCACTTGCTACATAGAAAATTGGGCCATGCCAGCTTCCCAGTCATCCAAAAAATGACAGAATGTACCAGTGACTTGAAAATAAAAAATTGCAAAAACTACTTAGAGTGTTCTGTATGTAAATCATCTAAGTTAAAAACCAAACCCAGACCTAGAAAAGCCACCCGTACCACCAATTCTATCTTCCACCTGGTACATATGGACATTGTGGGCCCCATGAAGCCCTCTATAAAATATAAAAAGAGGTATTTTCTGACAATAGTAGATGACTACAGCCGCTATGGCTTTGTATATACCATTAACCATAAGAACGAGGTATTTCAAAAATTTAAGGAATTTTATAAGAGGGTGGAAACGCAACACAACACAAAGATAAGGCAAATAATGACAGATAGGGAGTCTGAGTTCCTATCAAGGGACTTCTCGAACTGGTCAAAGATGCACGGGATAATACACTACACGACTTCTCCTTTTTCCGCATTCCAGAATGGAGTCGTAGAGAAAAGGAATGGAGTCCTGCAAACAATGATGAGATGCACCCTAGAGGATGCGGGTTAGGGCAGCCATTCTGGGCGGAAGCACTCAACTACTCAAATTATACGCTGAACAGGCTCTGGTCTAGCATAATAGGGAAAACACCTTATGAGGTGATGTATGACCGAAAGCCAAAAATTGCGCACCTACACATATTTGGAGTCACGGCGGATGTGCACATCCCCAGACAACTGAGACGAAAAGGAGACAAGGTCTCCAAGAGATTAAGGTTTATGGGGTATGAACCAGGCACAAAAGGCTATAGATTTATAGACAGGGACAACAGGTTCATTATATCCAGAACAGCGGTGTTCCACGAGAACACCAACTGGTCAAAAATACATCTCAACGAGACACTCATCAGGCAGGAAGACACAGACGAATTAAGGGATAAAAGCAAACCCACCACATTAGAAGCAAATACACAAGAGAGACAAAAACCGAAACACCATGAGGTAGCCACCAAGGGGTGGAAGGAAGACCACCCCATCATTAAGGTAGACACAGTCACAGAGAAGGAAGCCAAATACATGCACGCACCACCGACACACGACCCATAAGACTCAACAGAAATAAAATGCCCAAGAGATTTGAAGATTATGTCATGTCCATTCACCCAAATAGAATGACCCCCAACTCATACGAGGATATCATTAGCCAGCCACAGGAAGAGAGAGATAGGTGGGAGCAAGCTATGGAAAAGGAGATGGCTAGCCTACAGGAACTAAACGTGTACACCCCCTCTAAGGTCCCAGCCGACAAGACACTCATAGGCACAAAATGGGTTTTCAAAATTAAGGAACTCAAAGACAACAAGACCCTCTACAAGGCTAGACTCGTAGCTCAGGGGTTCGCCCAGAGGTATCCAGACGACTACACGGATACCTATTCACCCACAGTTAGGGCAGAAAGTGTCAAAAGCACCCTAGTAATAGCGTCTGTCTTAGGCCTAGAAGTCTACCAATTCGACGTTCAAACCGCATACCTCCATGCGAAGTTAGACAAAGAAATATATGTCAGGGCACCCCCAGGGAAGGGCGCAAAAGAGGGAGTCACCTGGCTACTAAACAAAAGTTTGTATGGCCTAAGACAGTCGGGAAAAAGATGGTATGAGTGCCTAGCCAAAACACTCAGGGACATGGCTTTTACCGCCACATCAGCGGACCTCTGCCTCTTCGCCAAGAGGGAGGGCACATCAGTAGAGTACACACTCGTTTACGTAGATGACATCCTGTACATAGGGCAGCACAAACAAAAATGCGATGAATTCGCCAGAGAACTGGGGAAACACTTCACACTCAAGTCCCTAGGGAGAGTCAACAAGTATCTAGGGGTGCAAATCGAGAAAACAGAGAACGGGTTCAAGGTATCACAAATGGAAAAAATATTAGAACTTATACACAGATGCAACATGAAGGACGCTAAGCCATGCGAAACACCCATGCAAACGGACTTCCTGAAACATATGCACGAAGAGGGGGAGTCATTTAAGGACAACACCCTGTATAGATCCGTCATTGGATCCCTCCTCTATATTGCCAATTGGACAAGGCCCGATATCAGCTTAGCTGTTAATTTATTATCCAGACATGTCAGTGAACCTAAGGTGTACCACTGGGAAGGGGTAAAGCGAATAATTAAGTACCTGAAACACAGCATAGACGCATACCTATGCCTGGAACCATCCAAATCCAAAGAATCTGTGCTGACCTGCTATGCGGACGCTGACTGGGCGGGGGATACCAAGAGCAGGAAAAGCACCTCCGGTTACATATTCCTCATCAATAACTGCCCGGTGCATTGGTATACCGGTAAACAGAATCTGGTTGCCACATCCACGGCGGAAGCAGAGTACATCTGCCTGTCAAAAGCAGCTAATAATTTAGTGTGGTTCGATGACCTGCTCTCTGAAATATGGACCGAGCCAGTTTACCCTATAACTATCCACGAGGACAATAAAGCAGCCATTGACATTTCCAACGCAGATGCAGTGGGTCAAAGGTCCAGACATATCGACATCAAGCACAAGCACATCAGGCAGTTATCGAATGTAGGCTTCAGCAGGGCCCGAGCATTGTGAAACTTCTGAACAAGTCGCAGACATTCTGACAAAGCCATTACCAAGCAGGCAGCACACATATCTGACATCAAAATTAGGGGTGGCTATGCCTTGTACAGAATCAACCCCAAATGTTAGGCATTTAGAGGGGGATTTGTTATGAATAAATGCCTAACTGTGTATACATTAATGCATAGACTGACCCCTCCTCCCTCACCTAGCCCTTCCCATGACCCCTCCTTACCTTGACCCCGCCTTCTCCATATATAAGGCTGTGCACAGGAGTTTAGCAGCAGTTCCAGATGTGTACCTGAATGAAAGGAAATGGAGTAAATAAATACGTTGAAATTGAAATCTATCGTGTCTGTGATTATTGGGCAAGATCCTTGGAAAAATACTTCACAGTGGCAGGTGGGGCGAGGGACAAAGGAAGCCCCTTTCACTGGAGGCAGATCAAAAGGCCGCCCGCCGGCCTCGCTGCCTGCTGTGCAGAGTCTGAGGGGAGACAGAGAGAGGCTCCCCCTGCAGCCCCCTTGGGGTCCCATGTGGGTTCAGACCCCCGAGGCCTCCCGCCTGCCCCTCTCCCCCGCTGGAGCCGCAGCCCCGA